AGATGACCTCCATGCCTTGGTATTTCCTCTTTATTCATATTTATTTCGTACATAGAGATGTGATCAACAAATACGTTATGCGCATATACGGTCTTCCCCTTCTTGTCGAATCCTACATAACCACAGATGTTGAACATCGATGGTTTCTAATCGATGTATTATTAGCATCGATATTTTAATATTTAACATCTGTTTGCTAACATCGATGTTCTGTTATACTCGTAAATGTCGCATCACTACTAATAGGTTGAAAATCTGCACTGGTCGAGTGTCGGACCTAGGCCGTTCCCATCTGAATGAATTCGCAAGTTTGCTAGCGATATAGTAAATTCAGTGTCACTCTATTGAGGAGCATGTTCTACATTAGCTGTGCTCCTGGTGGCCATGGATATGTGAGTAAACCTTGCTTCAGACAAAATTCAAGGAAACCGGTTGGACCAGATCTCCAGGATGTATTTATGTAACTTCTTACGGAACCGCATCTCCGATTCGGCTCACTTACTATTAGAATTGCACGAAGGCGTTGTTCACACTTTTCTAAATCGGCTTTATTAATAATTTATTTTGCCTAGGATGTTCGGCAATACAGTTGTACCGTTATAGAATCAACTGCTAAAGTTCGATGCAGCAAAATTTTCAAAACGGTTTGTGGTGCCGGACGTTTTTTTTGCGCATTTTGTTGTAGATAGTGGAGAAAATAACATATTTTGTGTTGCTGTTTGTAAAATTGGTAATTTATTTTTCTACTACCATATTTTAGTTCTCGCAGAGAGGAATACAAATCGTACTAACTGTAGACAAAATGGGTTCTACATACCTCAGAGGTCACTCCCACGACCTTTTGTGACGGTTTTCCGGCAGAGGGAAACAGAGCTGGTCCTTAAAAATTAACTTCAGGCTTCACTATACCTGCTAAAATGTATTTCTTTAGGGTATTGACCTCTTTGTTTACATACATTCGTCTCTGAATGAGCTTCAAAACATAATATATTAATTCTTACAACTCAGCAATATAATCCAATTTTTGTTTGCATTTAACAATAGAATGTATTAATTATTCAATCAAATTAGAAAATACAAAAGCGATTAAGTTAACACAATACTTGGACTTGTAGGCGTAAAAGGTCAAATATGGTATTTTATACCTCTTGTTGCGTTGACGCATTCTTAGATTACATATCCATTGTTCATTCATACTTTGTTTTTTATTGCAATAGATCGAACGTTTGCACAGGCTTTATACGTTGATTATATTAAAGTGCCCGATGACATTAGGTCATTTTATACCTGCTATCTTACAAAATGATTCTTTTTAACAGTGGTAAGCACATTCTTGAGGCCACGAGTCTTGTTCAGGAGGACGTTCGCGAATTAATTAAGGAGATTCATTTTATAATCAGGAGGCGAAAAAATGACCTAATAACATCGGCCTCTTTAAAAAATCGAAGTATAAGCACAGTGTAACGTACAGCAACCGACAGCAACCTCGACATTTCCGCGCATGCGCAGTTCGACATGTGATGTGGGGATGCTCAGAAGTGGTATAGAGGGGACGAGATATTTCGGTACGCTTTGCTTGAAGTCCTTTGTATAATTATGTATCTCTCTCAATAATGCCTTAACAATTACAAGACTATTTTTTCACTTGCTTCCCTTTACGTAAATGTATAGTTATTGTGATAAATGTATAACAAATGAAATTAATTTTAGTTTGTAAAATAAATGTAATTGACCATAATTCTCTTGCATAATTCTTCCTGTTCCCCTTCAGGCTTACTTAACGTACTTTGCCAACAATGTTTTTTAATTCAAAAGCAGCTTTCGATGGCTTAGCCATCATCATCAGTTGTCTGCTAGATGGAAGCCACAAAACGACTACGACTAGGTAGTCGTTTTGTGGCTTCCATCTAGCAGACAACTGATGATGATGGCTAAGCCATCGAAAGCTGCTTTTGAATTAAAAAACATTGTTGGCAATGACAACATCTTTAATTATTTTAAAAATGCCAAAGATATCCTACCACAACACCTATATTACTTAACGTACACTCATCCTTGTGCACAGTTGACAGCGAAAGCGAGGTTGCACAGGGTAGAAAGATGAAATCTATCAGCAAAACAGCAAGATCATGTGCACTTTTCATCCAAAAGGAAACATTCTACAGAACGCGGTATTTCGCGCCAATCACGTGCTTGCTGAGGAAATATTTCATTTTTTCAAGTGGCTCTCTAAATACTAAACAAAATATTAAATAATTGTATTCTTTTCATTGACAGTTTTAGAATGCTGGTTGAGAAAATTAAGACTTTCATTTAAACGATTAAATATTTCAATTGTTTCAAAACAAGAAAACGCAATATGCCGTACCCAAAACAACTTGGTGCAAACAGGCGAATACCTCAAACAATTTTGAACATATTTGTTGTGGCCAAATAAGGCGTAACCTTATGTACATATAGTAAAAAACCTTCCACTTTCCAGAAATAGATCTTCCTTGACCCATTACCACCCATCGTCTTCATTCGAGGACACAATTCTGGTCAATTTAAATCTGTTTGGAGAATTTTAGATCGTCAAAGTAATAACATAGACATCCTAAACAAAACATATAAGAATGTTTTTAAATTATTGAGCACTAGATGTAGGCCAGAATTTCAGGACTTGCGACGGTTCGAATCTTGTAAAACTGTACTTAGATACGAATTATCTGTGGTTAAGTTCGAAGGAGAGGCTGACTAAAAGCAAACAGAGGTACATCCGCAACGAAGTTATTTCCACAATATCTGAAACTGAAAGAAAATGCTTTCAATATTAGGTGGGAAACATTTTACAATTGAACATGTTGTGTACATTTTTTTCCTAGGAGAAGAAATGTAAGAACTCTGTGAAGCAAGTGAAGTGTAATACTCGGACGTTTTCAATTCAAGGAACCCTAGTGACATTAAGTGTCCTTTCACATCCTTGATTTACCAATGCAAACAAGGAAATGCATTAAAATTTAACCGGTTTTCGTAGAGTGTAAAGCTGGAAATACTGGCTAAACAAGATATTCTATTTCACGCGAAGCATGAACCTCCTTACAAATTATTGTATTACGGCAATAATTCAAATACGCCAGTAAAAAAGTCAAATCGAAGAGAACATCAATAACGTACTGTCGTTAATTGTCTAAGTTAATTAAGAAAATTACTTCAAACACAAAGAAGAAAGATCTGTAATAGAAATTAAATAAAAGCGTCGTAAAAAACTGTATTAAAATTAAAAACTGTTTTGGTTTAAAAATTAAAATCTGTATTAAAATACTTCTCATGGTAAAAGTATGCTTTAATTTACGTTAAAAATAATGACAACAGCAAATTGGAGTTAATCTCTAATACGAGTTAAAATATCCAAATCTAATGTAAACTAGTGGTGCTTCAACAGCACATACTTTCTCGCATTATTTCTGACGTTGCAATTTTAAATATTCAAAAAGTTAAAAGAAAATTAAAACTGCGCCATTTTTATGCGCCTTTTTGCTTTCCCCGTGAGAAAATGTAAAGAAAACATGTGGAGCCGGTTTTGAGAAAAAATAACAAATTTCATTAATTTCAATCAAACATTACTCACAAAAATTACTCACATTACTTTTACAAAAAGTGCAGGCAGATGGGCAGACGGACGGACGGGCAGACGGACAGATGGCACTACTGCCTTAGCGATCACTGCCACCGGCTCCGCTAGATTTAGATTTATTCAGTAAAAAAAAAGCTGTAAAAACTGAATGTGACGTAGGGGGCAAAGATTATCTGCGCACTTTTTCTTGAGTTCCAGAATCCTTTCCCGTCATTTTATATAATTAATTGTTTTAATTAATTAATTAATTAATTAATTAATAACGATTAAAAAATTAACGATTTTCCTGTATTGCTAACAAAATGGCAACTCGCCTTTATCTCTACTCTTACCATTACAAGCAAAAGGAGAGTTTAACAAAACGTGCGCATAGTGAAGCTACATTTACGTCCAGAAGCATAACAAGGGGCCATCTCAGCATTTGCTCAATGGAGCAGGGAAACTGGACAAAACCTGATCGAGATGAGGGTCATTGACCCGGAAGCTGAAGTACATTTTTGTCACAAACATATTAAGTATTTAAAAAATTAAACAATACAAATGTAAACTAATTCATTATATATCACTGTTTTGTTAAAATAATCATTATTTTTCTTTTTGATAAATAGTATAGTCTCAAAATTGTATACAAACAGTTATACAGCAGAAACGATTTTACTTTTAACTTAAATTTGTGATCCGACTTTAATTGTTTAATGTCATATGGCAGTGCGTTGTAAAGTAACGTACAGGTACAGAAAACCGCATTTATTCTGGCTAAAATAGTAATTTAATCTCAATTTAAGAGGAATTATTGTAAAAACTCCACAATTAAAATGATTCAAATGTTGATTCTAACTCTAATATTTATTTCACCACTTACATGGAAGAGTGTGATCTTTTTTCCTAATTTTGATTGAACATGACAACCATATTTTTCGTGAACTCCCTTTTGAGTCTGAAAAAAGTCAGATGTTATAGATTTCGTTCTTCACACTTGTATTAATCGCGCAACTTACCTGAACGATGACCTAGCTTCTCCCTCTCTGGCACAATAAACAGTTGAAGGCAAAAGATCGCAGCGAGCACTCATGACAACGTACCAAACACATCTTCACTAGCGCGAAATAGAAACTGTTTTCTATTGAAGATGAGAACTTCTGTCTGTGGTTTTCTACAAAAAAATGTTAAGAAATGACCGAAGCAGGTGAAGATCCCCCACAGGAGATACATAGAACTCCTCAGAAAGTTGGAACGCGAATCATTGAGAAAACTGCGAAGGCATGTCTTATTCTCCAGAGATTGGCATTGCTTCATAAAATTCCTCGTAAATGAACAAAGCCCGTTGGCATCAATGCGAGAAATAAACAAGTCTTGACTGATATCTTCTCCATTTCTCATTTAGATTTTTATTCTTCCTGGTCCTGGAGCCTCCCTTTGGGGAGAAGGACAACACGCAACAGAGGCTTCACGTTGTCCTGGTCTGCGGATGCGTTTCCAGCTTGATGGATGCTGTTGCCAGAAGAAAAATATACCAAAGTATAAGACACTTATACGAAAAAAGGAAGAGAAGGACCAACTAAAGCACTACACAAATACTAAAAATAGATATCGAAAGCTGAAATAGCCAATAAAGGCAAAATGAAAATCTTCTAAAACAACTCCGTAAGTACGATTAAGCGTGTTCTTTCGTTAAAAGACTTACAATCGTAATAATAATAAAAAGGCATTTCGACTCTCGTGATAATCGTCAGAAATTTGGGCAACAAACTCTTATCAAGATGGGATCATGGAACCAAATCTTATAAATGTTATAAAAATAATTAGTTATAATAATTAAATTTAGTCTCTGAAGTAGGAAACTATATTTTTATAAAGAGCTAGTTTACATCGTTGATGCTTGCGCCAAGAAACACATTTAAAAAATGCTTTTGCAGGAGACTGGTTTTATCCTAAACAGAGCCGTGTATTTTGCGCTTGACGTAGTCCACGTTACTGTCTAATTTTACTGTCAAAAAATCTATTTTCTAAACATTTCTTCACTTAAATGAAAACTGACAATTTTTGAAATCTGGTATTTATCTGAACTGACAGTATGTAGTGGGGTTAGGAAAAGCTTTATACTATTGCAGATATGTACCGTCTCTTTACCTGCCACTTTCTTGCTTGCGATTTTGATTTTAGATTTTAATCCTTCTGTCGTCATGTGATTCAAAGAGCTTGAATTTAATTGTGGCGAAATTTGGCCTCGTTAGTTATCACAGATAACGAGTTATCAAACTCTCCAGACCTCGCTTCGTGCACATATGCTCAGCCAAACGACCTTGAATATTACCCGTGGATCATGTAACGAACTATAAAAATAAACTGGATCCCTCCAACATCGAGGTCTCCAGTGTCAAACCAATTAATGGTTTGATTGTATCTCATACTTCCTGTACTATTTGATATTAAAGCGAACGATTTTTTAGCTGCACTGCGTTTCATAAGAAACATTGTTAAAACTTTTTCCAGCGTAAACATGTGAGGAATGTGTTGTAGCTTTCTTCTTTTCGTTCTTCACAAAACGTTCCATAGATGCCGAGCTCAATTAGTTCACATTTAAAATTCCAAACTTGAGACATTACTTTTTTTACATTTCTCAAAACACGGTGCAAATTTTTGTTACATTTTAACTTCAAAGATATGGAAAGAATTTATTTATTATCGTTTCAAGATTTTAAACGTAAAAACGAGTAAACGTAATATTCATAACAGGCAAATGAAGTACTAAGTGATCGCAAAACATTAAGCTGGATAAATTATTTTTTACTTTTGGAAAGGTTTTATCCCTACAACCCCTCCTCAGGTTACCCTGCATTCCTAGCATAATTTATTATTCATAGAGTAACTTAATTTGAAAGAATTTGGAGATGAAATCATCATTGCTAGGTATAAAATGAAATATTACTGCTCTCTGAGATCCTCTCCTCGTTTTTGCATCATATGATCCACATTCTTTTACCATCTAATGTTATTTACTTTATTGTACTTACTGCTTTTTTCCAAAAACAGTAAATACTGTATGTGTCATAGGATGATGTGACGTATATTTCCTGGAGAGGAGAGGAGAGGAAAGTGAGTTAAGTATGTTTACTTGATAATTCTTGTAATGTTCCTGAAATTGACCTTTTTATACGTTCTACACTAGCGTAGAAAAATAGCTTACTCTCTCTTGCTCACGGGTGCTTTTTTCTATCTGAACAACTAACGAATTAATTTTCGTTGTAACAGTCGAAGAAACAATTTCTGGTCGCTAGGAATTGGAAGAATAGTTCATGTTATCTTCTGGGATGAATTTAGAGAAAAAAGACCCAAGCGTAGGGTAGACTTCACCCGACTACATATTCATTGCATGACAGAAAATTCGCAAATTGTCATTAAGATACATAACGTGTACGTCAAATGACGCAATTGACTCGTAATGTCTGTGATTAAACAAAATCGAAATACATTTTGGCTGATATTAGATCCCAAACTCTGGGAAACGGAAACGGACACACATTTTAAATGACCCACCCATACTCGCAGATCACGGAAGGGAAAGACTTGCTGTAGGAAAAGCTGACATAAACATTCATCCTGTGCACGTTTTCCTTCTCAACCACGCTCGTGTTCGTTTTGTCAGCTTCAAGCTTTTGCATCGTAAACACTGCGCAGCAAAAGGCTTTCAACCCAACTACAACGTTCTCCACGCCTCGCAGAAAGATCCCATCACTGTGACTCCACCTCACGCGAAAACCTCCTGCGCCCGCGATGCTTGCGCGGGATACGGCCATTCGTTGAGATAAAAGTCGATAAAAAAGTTTTCTAATTGCAGCCCGTCGTACGCCAAGCGTCTTTAAATTGCCCTATGAAATCAAGGAGCCAGGAGAACCACGGGTGAGTTCGTTAGCGGGTAATTTTTGCATTAGATGCATGTTCGTTGATTAAGCGCGTGGGTGCGTGGTGAAAGGGTCAGCTAATCGCAGGGACTCAGAGAGCGTGCCGTTATTGAGTTAATGGGCGCCTGACAGGTGGGGGCGGGGGCGGGGGCGGGGCGGCGCCTTCATCAGCACGTCCGCTTCCCGGGCGGGGGACGTTGCGCAGCGCCGGCCTCGCGTGCCCCGTCCTCCGGGCGGAAGCGCCGCGCCGCTTGTTCGGCGCTGGGGTATCTGCGCAACTGCAAGGCGCAAGGCGCGTTGCTCTACAAAGCGCGCTTCCTGCGGATCCTTCCCCCTCGCGCCGGCTCCTCTCCTCGCGACCGCCCCCTCTTCGCCGACGGTCAAACATTGAAGCAAGATGTTTGCGCACCTTCTGGGTACTCTACATCGCTGGTGTGAAAGAGAGAGTATTCGCGCAGGAAAAGGATATGGCTGATTTATGGATTGCTGTTTCCGGGCGCGTCAAACGCTAAGGTCATTAGTCCCGTAAGTGTAGTGCGTGCGTGTTTATTGCGGGAAGTTGATCTTCCCCCGCTGGATGGCGAGATCTGGCGCCGATCTCCACGACGGACGGCAGGGTATCTCCCGCCAGCGGGGCACCTCCCCAGACGGGGCAACCTCGCCACATGCGCGGCTCATCAGTGCATGTAAGTGTAAGCGATGTAAGGATAGGACGAGGAAGAGGGAGTCGAACTCTAGAGCCCCCCGGTCAGAGGCACTGCTGTGACATCAATTGATTTACCGAGTCACCTATCCCAGTTCTCAGTCGTTGAGTAGGCGCACTGTAGTATATTTTTGCTAATAAAAAGTTCATAAAGTTGGTTCACAAGGCAGTTGCCATAGATTAAAGCACTTTGTTTCTGCTCGCGAAATAAACAGCTCTGCTCACGTTAAAACGTTCAGCAAAATTGCGATTTTTGTGATGTATCCCTTTTGTTGTGCAACGACAACATACGATTGTTTACCGCAACCCAAAGGAACCAAACCCGCTTGAGGGACGCGTCAGTTTAATCCCAACCAAGCGCCCAGGTTTGCTCGTTCTTTTCTGATCGCGCCTTGTGTTCCCCGCTCTGCGGTCGTATGTGTTATATGATTTAATTTAGGTAGGTACCTAATATAAAATAATTAACTCACGTAAATGCGTCTGACGACTGAAGATGCAAAGGTTGATGGTTCGAATCCCACATAAGGCACTTATGCATTCACTTCGCCTCAGGGCCCTTAGAGAAGACAAAGGCTCACTACCATGAATAAAATAAAAGAATCTAATATAAAACATAATTTACTTTTCCTAAATGGCCGGTGCAGACTAGTGTAATTTCTCTGTACTTGATGGCGAACATCCTGCGAGAGATGAAGACGAAGTTGTAATCGCACAATGAAGGGCTGGGTCGCCGAGAGTAAGAGCCCTGCCGCGGCAGAGCAGAGCGCGGCGCAAAAGCAGAGCAAGGTGCGCAGATGCACGGCCGCTGGACGCGCGTTCCCCAATGCCTGCTCTCCCCGCCGGGCGCTGTTGAGGTGCTTCGTGCAACCGACCAAGGCCCAACGGCCCCCTCGCTGCGCAGCACCACCCTGCAAAAACATTTAGTATTTTAGTATCTGCCCGGGCAGGCTCTCCCAATGTCCCTTTAAATGCCATGGTTCTACACAGACACTAAACTGAAAAACAGTAAAAAGTTAATCAAGAACAAATAAAATTACTACAACTAAAACCTAGTGTCGTCAGAAGATATTCCGGACACTACTACTACTGGGACAGGTGGCTCAGTGCATCAACGGATGTCACTATCCCTCTAACCGGGAGGTCCTAGGTTCGAGTCCCAACGACGCGACGGCATGATTTTCGATACTAGCTTTTCAGCAACCGGAAGCGGTGCGAGACGGCGAATAGTGGAATCGTACGAAAATATGTTTGCCAGATGTTTTCTAACAAATAACTGAGAATTCGATAACGTTTACATTCTTTACTTCTTAATACTATTTCATGTTTATTACCTTACTTAATTCTCATTTATATATTTCCCTCATCGTCTTTGCTAAGTGATAGGAATATGTTTGAAAGGCGAATTCTTTCCTTGTTTTCGTTTTGTGTTATTAAATAATTCAGTTATTTATTGTTTAGCAATAATGTGAAATAGATTAACAAATCTCTATAGTGTGGCGTCGTTAACACGAGGGCCAGAACCGTTAGGTCAGTGAAAGTACGCTGCGGGGGAGGAAGGGGTTGAGCCTGAACTTCCGGGAGTTTGCGCTCTGGCGGTTGACTCAGGTAGAGCCGCAGAGCCAAAAATACCGTAGGCTGTAAACTCCGAGGATGCTAGCCAGCGAGCCTCGCTTATGGTTGCCAACCTGAGAATCCTGTGTGGGGGCGTAAACCAAGCTGCTGGCCAGCGAGCCTATCTATGGAACAGTGGTGGGGGGTGTTAGTCTCAACTATTTACCGCGGCGCCATCTGCGCCCGCGTTCTCATTCAGTTTGCATCGGGGAGCTTGTACGTGTATGTACGAGGAGTGTAGGTGTGTGGGCGAGATGTCCGGAGAGTAAGGGCGAAACGATCTCGCGTGCTGTAGGCACACGGTCGCCACGACCGGGTTAAATTTTGGCGTCAGGCCATGTGACGGTAATTGTCACGGGACCGAGGTCCGACAGCTCGCATCACGCGTGGCTTGTATTTTTCTGCGGTAAAGCAGTGTTCTGAAAGGA